GACACCATGCAGAACTTGTTTAAGAAAGCAACAGCTATGGTAAAATATGCCAAGAGACACAAAGTGGTTTGGGCAACATTTTGTGAAAAACAGAAAACTCAGAATAAGGGAACAACACTTAAACTGCCAAGCCCAACAAGATGGGGTGCTGAAGTAATTATGTATAAGAGCTTCACTGATGGCAGAGAATCATTGCAAAAACTTGCAATTATGGAATCACTGGGTGTTTATAAAAGCATGCAAAAGGATCTTCTGGATAATGATATTTTCTGGCCACTCATAGTCAACAGCCTCAAGATACTTGATTCTGTGGCATCAGCAATTACAGAAATTGAAAGCAATGATGCTCTTCTGTCCGATGTACCAAAGCTCCTAACTTATGTTAAAGAAAAAGTAACTGCAGCACTTCTGGAGTCACCACTGAAATAAGCTGAGGAAAGGGCTGCAACAAATTTAATCAAGTAGAGGTCAGAGTTCTGCATGAAATCAATCCATGAAGTAATCAACATGCTACACCCTTGCAACAGAGGAGGACACTTTAATGATCAACAAGTTAACACTACATACACTTTTATAACGGTGATAGCAAACCACCTTGGTCTTGATGAAGGGAAGGTCTTAGCTAGTTTGGCAAAATTTAGAGCAAACAAAGGACTGGAAAGGTGATGCCTTGTGGTCCTCTGCCCAGCACATTTCCCCAGCCACATGATGGAAGGGCCTTTGTCATACAGGAGCACTCTCCCCTATTGCCACTTACCTTAGCTGCCTCAGAACACAACTGGTCTTTATTTGGCAATGTACATACCAATCAATGGAACAGACTAACAAATGACAGGATAGCCAAACTAGTCTCCATAATAGGAAATTTAAAGCTCTTTGAACCTGCATCAGACACTTCCACATCTTTGGCATGCAAAAACATGGATTCTGACATTCAAATGATAGTTGAGTGCATTTCATCAGACAGCTGATCATCAGATGAATATAGTTCAGATGAGGATTGTGAAGCTATGGACTAATTTGGTACAGTTAAATCTGCATTGCAAATATTGTACATTTCCAGCTAAAGACAAAAGGATTTTTACTCTGGAGTAATGTACATTATGCCAAAATAAAACATCTTTACCTTTGTTTTGTTTGATGCATAAAATATCATTGAACATCTTTTATGATTTTGTAACTTGGGCAATAAATCTTCATTTGAATCATGTAAATGCATATAATAATTAGTGTACATTTTTAGTGGTATAAGTAGTGATAATGAAGAGTTTTTTATTTTCATTAATGTACTATTAATGACATTATATATGTCTGGACTCAGAAGTTCTGTATTCAGTATTATACTTAATTACATCAGGCATATTGTTCAATGTGTTAACTGCCAAATTTACTGACTGAATTATCCATCCTGTTCTTTTATATTTCTTTACAGTGGTCGTCCATAAAAATGTAGTACACTTTTTAGAGATACAAGTATTATTCACAAGTTATAAGAGCTTAATGTATGCATGTAAGCTGTAGCCCAGTAAAGTACTGGTAGATATAGCATTTTATGCTGGAAGATACAAATGTTTTAGTCATTTTTTATTAATTTCATATTTAAGTATCCAATTTAGAAGATAATTTTCATTTATTTTTTTACATTTTTTATACTTCAGGGTAATTATGGTTAATGATATTTCTATAGTTTTCTATTTTTTCATGTTGTGACTAAAGCATCAACACAACCATATGTTTTTTCAGTATTGTATTTCTTCTACTGTTTAAATATTGTATTAATTAAGAAAAAATCGGATTTATTTCAAAAATATATTTTTACCAAATAATATGGCAATTTACCACTCTGAAAATACACAGAAATTTTGCAACCCTATTAGTAACTCAAATTATTGATATTGGCAAGCTAGAATATAAAATAAGAACCTCACATCTTTTCTATTTGCTGAGATATCACTCATGTACTGAATCAAATACAGTGGCACTGCTCAACTCTTTCCATTTTTAGAAATGCTCCCTTATATACACTTACTTCAATATATGACATGTGAATAACCAATCAAAAGCTCAGAATATCCCTCTAGTGACTTTCTCAGCCATTTTAAATTGTTAGGATTCCATCTCATTCTTTCCAACCACGATTTCAAGGAGATAGGTTGTGTCTTAGTCTGCTCAAAATTTCTTATTTTTTTAACCGAAATACACTTGATAAATTAGTGGAATTCTATGGTATTGATATAGTAATTTATGATTTTTTAGTTATTCAACTGTATATATAAAACCTAAAAAAATTATTTTGCTTCATATCCTCCACATGCAAATTTTAAAAGGCTTAGCAACCTACATCAAGCAGCAAAGGACATAACTAGAAGAGATAATTGTTTGCTTTACTTCTTTATTTACTGTTTTATGTTTAAAAAAAAAGTTTAAGAACTTATTTCTAAATAATGATAACTTATATATGTATATAAATTATCATTATATACATTATAATGTGACTGAATTTTACAAAATACTAGTTTACTAAAACAAAGCCAAGACAGGTCACAATGTAAAGACTAAAGGTCAATTTTATATTATTGGATACAGTAACATGAAAGCATGTGTGGCACGTCATTGTAACTTCTGTATCGTTAGCCAGGCATGGCTGAAAGGTCAATATAATAAAAATAATAAATATATATAAAAGTATAATGTTATGAGATTTAAACTACTTAATCTAAACATTATGTTTTCATGTTATAATTTGTTGTCATTCTAGAATGAAAGAGGCATAATTTATATTTATTTCTTAATTTTTTATGTTGGTTACAAGATCAGTCAAATCTACCAAACCCATACAGAGATTCATTAGTGAAAATAACAAATAAAATATAAAGACTTTTCTTAAGGAACGTTTGATAACTATCTGGACATTATAAAGATTTTGCATGTGAAATTTGAAAAATTTTCTAATGCATAAAAGTATTTTTAATCTTAAA